TATTTATCGCCCAATTATTTTATTTAATTAAATTTGTAAAAGTTATATGGTGGGATAATTGTAGGCCCATTTTCATTGAATTTATGACAAAAATTTAAAAAAATGAACGTTCAGTATATATTCCGGAATTAAATCCAATCGATCTCAGTAAAAACCTTGAAACTTGCTTTATAACCTATTCTGTTGGTGATCATAAATACAGAACTTTGTAACTCGGCGTCTTGAATTTCAATCGAGTTATACTTAGATGCCTCAAAAACATGTCAACCAGGTAGTTATTATAAGAGACGTCGAGAGACAGATAAACAATTTTAATATTTCAAATTGCTCAAGTGCTGCTGAACAGTTAAATTACTTGGGAGAAACTCCGGAAAAACTTTTGTCGTACAAAAAAACGTGTTGCGTTGGAAGTATACAAGGAAGAACATTTAGAGCAAAAATCGTTACTAAAACGTTGAAGTTTAAAATGAAGTTTGATGCTAATATTGATGTACTAATTTTTGAATTTTTTGCTGGTTAAAAAAGCTCTCCGGGTTTAGCTAAGTGTTCCGTAAATTTAGTCTGCTATATCGGAATTTAAAATGAAGCTACGTCGTAACAACTTAAAAAAGTCAAGCAATCTTGTTAGTGGATCATCTTGGTGTCCGACATAGCGCAAATTGAGGATGAGTCGATTTCCTATATTACGTGAGGTCGTGCTGGGATATTCCAGAAACCTTCTCCTACGTTTAGAGAAATCTAATGTACTGAGGCCGGATGAAGTCTCGATAATTTCATTGATTTAAGAGTCAATACAGTTTTTACCTTTGACTTTTCAAACGGCAAGCCGGGGCAATAACTGCTGCATACTCGTATTCTGCTCATCTTTTTTATCTCTATAAATTGGATTAGCGAGAATCGAAGTTGCAAAAGTATTAAAGTAATAAACCTGATGTTTATATTTAAGCACGACTGCTATATTTGAACTGTTTAATTCCCCATAATAATTGTTGTGCCATTTTTCAAGAATTCCAAAGTAAAGTACATTTACATTTTTGTGTACATCTTCCTTGATAAGGTTTTATTAATTCGTACTTTTATTATCGAGGGCCACGTTATAAATTTATGAGGGAAATTTATCATCACAATGGTTGTACGGAAACGAATTCATTTCCTGATATTCTAGGGTTATAGATAAAAGCTTTATTCTTCTACGAGTGCAAGCGTCCAGATTTTATAATTTATAAAACATGTTTTAGCAACCGTAATTTATACGATATAAAATACAATATAAAAGACTGGAATAACAGATGTCGACAAATAAATACACCTTTTTATTATTTTCAAGAATTTGCAAGATCGGCCCTTCTCAATTTGGGTACGAAAATTTTCTTGGACACTTGAGATAAATTGGCTGTTGGGTTTATTTTCCACTTCAATGCTTTCACGTCGTTTGTAAGTTGGTTTAAAACTACATCGGAGAAATAGTGATAAATTTTTAACACAATTGTAAGCGAAAATCATTATTGAATTATTTATTTTATAAATCAGTAAACAAGCCTATGCATTATCCGTTATTGTATTCACTGAAATAAATCCTATTAGAGTTTTTAGACAATATCTGTTACAATTTAATAATCACGTAATAACTAATAAATGATACTAATTTTTTTAATAACATTTTAGTTTACTGATTGCATTACTTTCAGATTCTGTTAAAAATATATAAAGTAAAACAATTCTTATTAACCTAGCAAACAAATTGTTTTCGGCCCTTCTCATTGTGTGCTTTTTTGAAGCTAATTAGTGTTGTGCAGCAACTGTTTGGTTCCTGACTGTGCATGAAGACATACAATGTATAGTTTAGTGTATTAGATTTATTCTGTGTAATAATTGCTAGAAGGTACTCGAATATTTATTTAGTTTAATTAGCTTTCTCTAGATAGGATTAGATGTAATATAACTAGGTGTAGATGCACACATAATTCGTGAAACTCTGTAGGCTATGTGCCTAAATGTTTGACAACTTACGGCAAGATTAATCCATTAGAGTAAAACCAACACATAACTCCATTTCCTTCGTTATTGTTGTACACATGTATTACATGTATCTAATAAAAATAAATACATATAAAGTAAAGCTTTTAATAAATATTACGATGTTAACGTAGTTGCTTTATCTTCTTCAAACACTAAAAAAGTCGGGTCATCCCTCTGTACTCGGATCCTTCGTAAAGCTTCTTGTATTGTTCTGGAAACATCTGTGACTACTCAATTTTTTTCTTGGTTATGTGTACAAGAGAGAATATAAATCAGTTAAACTAATTACAAAGTCTAACGTAAGTGTTGAAATAAAAAAAAAGTTGAATTCTTACGTCTTAGTCAATGAGAAACTGATTAAATTCAATCACCTGTCAGCTGTCTCATCACAAAGATGTCTCATGTGTACTTAAGAATCAACTTCAACATCCAAATTCTAAAAGCAAGTTCAGCTCCAGTAAGTGGTGAATATAAAGTTAGATACTGTCAGGTAAGTTCAAACTTTAATTGGACAAATGATGGAGATTCAAATCGAATACTTATTATACCCTAAGATGAGTGCCTAATAAGGAAAAATATGTTACACAGATATAAAATCTTGTTTATAAACAGTTTGCTTAAATGAAGAGGCAAACTGAAAAACAAATACTTAGTTTAATTTTTTTATTTACTTTTACAAACACTATTTAAATAAGGCGTTAAATAAGGCGTTTCAATCACAAATAAGTGGTCATCTTCAGTTGAGAATATATATAACTTTTAAGTTATCGTTTCATAGGCAATGTTTTCGCTTTGACTGCAAGCTAAAAAAAAAGGTTAACACTAAATAAAAACGTAAATTATTATTTTTTGTACGTACTCACTTGTGGAGGTTCGAGAATTAAAAACGTGATGAAAACATAAAATTTTGTATATCCACCGGATACTTTGAAGTTTTCCATGTGTTAAAATATTCATCAACGTACACTAATCCGATTTTATAATGGAAATTAAGCTATTTGTGGCCGAAAAGTACACTCATTATTTATGTGGTCTCTCGTCTACACACCCTAGAATTACAAATTTTCAATCCGATTTCGAATGGAACGTAAATAGCATTTATTGTTAACGCGTGCTAATACAACATTCCTCTCTATTTCCAGGGTAATTGGAAAAAAGTTGAAATCTTTCTTTTATTTCATAGATGGAGACAGAGAACAGAGCGTGAAAAATCTTGTTTTCTTTGTTTAGTAAAAAGAAAATTTTGCGATAAATGTTAAATTCAGTGTGGTTATTGGTTGAAACAATCAGTAATCAAAGAAGTTGGTATTCTAGAGCGAGTAACTGTGTCATGTCAGTTGAAACAAGTTTTAAGAACTCTTGTAGTCTCGATCTTGAGCAAGTACTCCAAACTCTCGAATCACTTCTTTATGTCCACATTGTTTGAACACGACTAAAAGCTTTAAAAATGTTAAATATTCCGATCAAATATTGCATCAAATACAATTCGGTAAATGCCCGAAGACATTTGATACATCTCCTTTTCCAGAAAATAGAATCTTTTGATGCACTAAAAATAAAGCTACAGAAACGCCTTTGATGAAATTAAACATGAAGAAAGCTATTCTATGACAATAAGACTAAAAACATTTAAACAATTTCACTTAATCTTTGACGCCAAGTGGGATGTTAGAAACCGCTCAAAGCTTGAAAAACGAGGGCAAGGAACCTTGATCAGAGAATACACGATGCAAGAAGGATTGACACTTAAGAATTTCTTTTTATTACAGGCGTGCTTGCTAGAGCGTATCTAATTCCGAAAATCGGTCTGACCGATTTTACAAGCCACAAGAAACTACTCCATTAAATATGCCAAGACAAAACCTCTTATTCTCCCCTATTCGATGCTTTATACCTTAATCTTTCTTCTAGTTTCGCTTCACTACAGTCATTTAAAGAATTTTCTTGAAACATTAGCTGCAGCGAAAGAAAAGCCCCCATTCTGACAGCACAGTAATTTTTCATTTCACGTGCTTAAGGAGAAAAAATTTCACCTCTTCCACTAACCAATGTTAGATATTTTATAAATGTAGCAAAGTCGCAGATTATTAAAGTGTTTGCTCTGGATAGTTTAATTTGTTTTTTTTTACCAGGACCAAATTATTATTTGATGAATGTGCAAATATTTTGTTGATATAAGCCTAAATTTTATCCAAGAACTTTTACACAATTTAAACACTTGCCATTCTAGCGCACACACTAGTTTCAATTTCTTGCGAAAATGGCTTAGAGGTATAATAAAAGATAATTATGAAGTGCCGTATGGTTTAGCCTTAATGTCTGTTCATTTATCATTAAATTCATGACAATATAATTTTATAAATGCAATGATTGAAAGAGTTATATCCAGAGTTAAGGTTAAAGAGTTAGTTTTATGAACCTATTATACGAGTAAAAATTGGTTAATCCACTACTATAGGCAAAGCTGAGTAAATTACGAATAACGAAAAATGTTATTATTGTGCATTTTTGTTCGTCTGATACAACGTACAAACATTTGCATTGCATAGTTTTTTTTATTTTTGTGTGCGTAAAACACAATTTAATGTTTGCCTAGACAAAAAACGTTTTAGTTATTTTTTAAATCTGTGTTTTAAAATAAAGCTTTATTTATGGCATAAAAATAGACTAAAGCGAACGAAAACAGTAGTATTTTAAAACTCATTATGGTTTGTCAGAAAAGTACATTTGATTGTAATTCGAGTTTATTGATTAAATATCATCATAGTGTTCAATAACCTGTGGAAGTCTTTGTGAAACTTTATGTTTGTTGTGAAATCTTCTTATTTTTATTTTTCTATTTCCCGCTTCATGTAATATTAATGGCTTCGTATAAATCAGCTTCAACCCAAAGAATTTCAATTACCTGAGACAATTTTGGTTTTCGAGCCTCAACCCAAAAGCTATCCTCATAGAATATTAACTAGAAGAAATTATTTCAGGACTACAACGACGACATCCGACAGGAACAAATGTGGGAGATGCAGGTGCTTTCGAGTCAAAGAAATAACAACAAAGCAGACGAAGCAAGTGGTGGATCGAGTTCGGGGGCGGAATATACAGGTGAAGACAGATTGAGCAGTGAGACGGCAGAACCGGGACCAGAAAGCCCCCAAGATGAGCATCCAGCATTACGTGGCATTCAACCAGGTAACTGATTATGAATAATTAAGTCCGATATCGGCTTCCAGTAAACAAGTGCTAATGGTATTTCATTTCGAAATAAAATTATCAACTACATCATCGTTCGTGATTAAATTTCTCTTGGAGATATTAAGAGGAAATAGTCTTTTACGTTCAATTTTCCCATAAGTTTCTCAGTTATGGATGGAATTTAATAGTGCTGGAGTTCGAACATTTTGCTATTTGGGGAGTTATATAACTTATATATGTTGTTTATTGTTCGTTCGTACGTTCCTCATCGAAATCATTTCCTGAATAGTGCTATTGCGAACAATAATAAATTGCTGGTATTTAAGATCCCTTTACACGATTACCCTACTAAGGTGAGCAAAGACGTTGAAATACGAGGGTTTATATCGGCTTAATTATCCTATTTACCTGTCCCATCGTGGGCCCTTAATAAACAATCAGGACATCGCAATGTTTCCTTGCCCGGAAGATTGCGCGCGAGCTTCAGGTCAACACTTAAATACAACGGGGGTGCATAATGAAGTCGCGTATATCACATTCCGTAAATTCCTCGTCTGTGTTGGGTTAATAACCAAGCAATTCTTCACCGAAACTACCTATATTTTTCCTATCTTAAGCGAAAATACAGTTTTCTGTTTCTTACGATGGCTTTTATTTGTAACAACTCTATTGATTCCAATCGAGAAAGCTTTTAAGACATTGATTAAACATTTATAAAAGCGAAAAAAGAAAGTTTAGAAGGAATTTTGGACGAATTAATTATTGAGTTGAAGTATTTCCTTCACAAATTTAAAATTTACGAATAACGATGCGATTGGAAGTCTGATTTTATTTTTTTACTCGTATCTTACAAAACGCAATAACAACACTATAACACAAGTTATGTTTTTTGTTTTTGTCTCTGTTTAATGTTTTGTTCTGTTTTAATTTGTTTTTAATAAAATTCATTGAGTTTTTTAATTATTTCAGATACCCTTGGTAATCAATTTATATATTTAATTTAGTTGTAATAATTTTAGTCCTGATCACTGAAGTAAAAACTTCTCGATTTTCATTTTATGTTATCTACAACTCGAGTAGGTACATACAAGTAATAAAATAAGTAGTTTTTCCGGAAATTTATTTTCTGTTTTTACTATTTATTCTGATCGATATGTCTGGTGTTTTCCAGTTTCTTTTGCATTTATGTTGACTGTCCCTGAAGATACAAATCTCAGCACATAGTACTTTTTTTACAAAACAATATTAAAAACAAAAACAGAAAAAACGGAAACCTATTTATATTTTTATAATTACGAGTATAATAGTTTTGAGTTTTAAGTTCTTGATTTAACAAAAATATTGTACTGTATTGCGACTGTTTATTCTTTGTGATGGAAATTCCGTCAAAATGTTTAATAGGAATTTTTTGCGATTTTAGTGCATCCGCTAACATTGTTTCAATTATTACATTTGAAAATACTTACAGAGATGAATTAATAACTACGGGTAAATTTTGAAATGCATTTCCAGTTTGCTTGTTTGTATTTTGTGAATGCTGGATCCTTTTTACATTTTTAGATCTAACAGTTTTATTTTAATTCATTCAAAAAGTAGTAAAGAATGCAATTGATTCTAGACAGACAGAGGGGCAATAAAAATGATTGTCGACCGTCGCCTTGAGCCTCCAGGGGTTATAAAATACCCTTCATTGATTTCTCCCATAGCTGAGAAAGCAATCAGAACGGCAAGCGTTTCTAAACCAAAATTAATCATAAGACAAAAGACTCTTTCTCTCAGTGTCTAGAAACATTACACAGATGATATATTACTTTGTGAAATCGAAACAGTCTAGATTTTCCATATCACGGCGGTTTCGTTCCGCTTTGATCAGCTTTGTAAGAAATCTATCTGATTTTCTCAGGAACTCCTTCGTCGACGGAGACAACGGCTAGCGCAACCACCGCCAACGGGAGCCAACTGTCTCCCACAAACGGCATTGGCAACGGTCCAGCCACAGGTGGAGTCCTGGGAGTCGGGGGGCGCAAAAGACCACTTCTGGCAGGAGGCCTGAGGACATCGATGACTCCAACCAAACGCACGGTCATGAGTCTTCTAGCCAGAGCCAGAGCAGCGCAAGCGAAGCAATTACCTAGCACTTTTCAAAGAGGCACACCGGAGTAAGTTGCCTTATTAATTGCATCGTTTTAATTAATTTTTGTCTTAAAACCGAAAGCACTTAGCGAGGTCTTGCGTACCGAGATCGATAAATTATTCTCATAAGCCTAGGAAGCGTCGAGAGACGTATACTTATATTCATAAAACCACTCCAACTGCAAGCGAAATTTCTTCTTGTTGCCGACTGTAAATGGATTTTGTTTGAGTTACACACAAGTAAACGTACCGACTTGTATGTAAGTGTAAAAGAATAGTTTCAGTAAACGGATTTAAACTAAATGGTTAATTTCAGTCACATGTTTCATTACTACGTTTCCCCTTTATTTGAAAACAGAATTGTTTAAAACAAGCTCTAAGAGCAACAAAACATTATTCAGAAAATCTGTCTCGAGAATCACTCGAGTTGAGAGCTTTTCAAAGTTTTATAAGCAAAAACAAATATTCAAAAAACAGAATGATTAATTCCAGTCACATTCATAACCACATTGTTTCTTAATTCGCAAATAAAATTACCTAAACCAATTTTTTCGGTTATCTGATTTTAATTTTATTAAATCTAAAATTAAACTTTCTTATGTGAGACTTAAAGATTTCGATTTCAAGGCTATGGAGTTCAGGCACTAGAAGAAAAAAAATTGAACAAATCCTATTTATTTTGACATTACGATTTGTAGTATAATTCAAATCTGCAAATAAGGATAGTTGTAGAGTTAATAGATATATTAATTTGTCGAAATCAATGTTCTCGCTACGTAACTCTATGAAAAATAATGCAAATTTGAAGTGAAAACATTTTATTCAAAATTTCTTTGTTCTCTACATTGATAAGTTTAGTTGCATCATAAAAATTGTGCATTTATAAAAAATTGCAAATTAGCATGCTTGTATAAAGAACCCCTTCAGCCCTCAGTTGTTCAACTTTTTTACTCGGTATAAATGCATGAAGTGAAAACTAACGTGCGTTAAACTCTTATCACAATTTGCATTCAAATTTGTAGTGATGTCACGCTTTTAGGTAAAGGGTTGGTTTGTTAGAAAGCTCCAATTTGATATGTACATTAACATCCTGTGCAGAGATTTTTATTTAGAAAACTTGTTGAATGAATAATTAGTACCAAACTTCGTTAAACTTGATGGCGAGTCTAACATAACTAGTGAAGTTGGTAGAAGAGGTGTTATATTGGAAACTATCCTCATAAAAGTTGAAATAAAGAGATTTCAGAAAGCATCAAATTAGATTAGTTAGTTACATGGCGAACCACAAAGTTACCATTAACTTCATTATAAATTCAAGAATAAAATTATTGTTTTGGAACTTAACACGGAATGCTAATTAGTAATTAAAAGTTACTTTTAAAATTTATTATTATAACTCATTAAAACCATCTCATCTAAATTGTCAAAACCAGTATACAGGGTGCGCCAGAACTCGCGCCGCAGAGAAAATTTTCAAGTAAGGTAAGATAGCAGGAACATGAAAAAAATGTTTAAAAAATTTTATCTGTCAAAAAATTTTGACATTTATTTTTTGACATTTGACATTCTTTTATATCTATTTAATGATACTGATGATCTTGTATCTGTTTTTTTACAAGTATTTAGTAAAGGGACAAAAATTTTCCCAATAAAAGTCACAAATAACATTGAATTGAGTTACAATTTAGGATATAGCTTCCCTGTGTCCTCTTATAATAGCCTATAGCAAAAAAACTTAAAAAAATATTTTTCTAACAGAAATAAATAGTCAAAGTGCAAACTTTAAACCCTCATAACTTCGAAATTTTTATAGATATTTTTTTTTAACATTTTTTCCATGTTCTTGGTATCTTACCTTATATATAGCATTTTTATCTGGGGCGCAAGTTCTGGCGCAGCCTGTATACTTTTGCAACTTTTGCCACCACTTCTGGGCTTGAGTAATCCAAAAATAGGAAGATTACGTGAATTACAATGTACTTAGTATTAGATTGTAACCATTATTGCTGACGTTTCTTAAAAAAAGTTTACAGATGAAATCTGGTAATTTAGTGTCTTTAATCTTGCTTTAATATAAACATTTTGTATACTAATATTCTTTCGCACATAAGAGTGTCGTCAAAAAAGCACGAGTGCGGAAAAGGCGATTTCCTACACTAAACGCATTTGGAAGTTAAACCGTTTAAGTTTATATCTGTTACATGTGTTATAAAAAGAGCTAAAACGCAAATATTACTCGTGTTCTGTAAATATTCTCTTGTTTTTTAGTGGGTTGACCTCGTTACACTTGTTTGAAACAAACGTATCCGTTGATTGTTCAAGTCTGATTTATAATTCTTATTTTGTCTTTGTCGATATAAGCAGATTAAGATCATCAGCATAAATAACGAGCGCTGAAACAGACAAACAAAACACAACTGGAGATCATTGATAAAGATTACAACAAACACACAAGTTAATTCTCTAACAGTCTAGCTGTATACATGAATAAATCTGTTCTTTGTCCAACTTCAACGTAAACTATGATATAGGATATAGGAGTTTAGAGAGTAAGATATCCTTAAATTTACTAACATTGGTGTAGGATATAGAAGTTTAGAGATAAGATATCGTTAACTATACTAATATTGCACTATATCATTCGCTCTCGAATTTTTTAAAGCTGTTTTACATTAAACGCAATATAAAATCAGGCTACACAAGTCCTTGCATGGCATCACGTTGATGCAAAGCAAGATGCAAAAATTTATAATATGCGATTTTTATTCAGATTCCTTTAGCTCTTAGCATCGAACCTGCTCAACATACAAAATCAACATATCAAGCATCAAATTTGCACCTGCATCAAGGAATAAATAGACATCAGTTTGAATTTTCATAGACGGAAATAAGTTCACAAACGTGTAATTTAAATGTAAAATTATAATTTATCACCAGACCTGGCTAATGGTATAAACTCATGTTAAACCTACTTTGGTTTTGAAATTTATGCGCTAGTGTAAATACGAGGCAAATGACTACGGTGGAATTTTAAATTTTGTTTATACTTATGGGATAGTATTGCTGTGTCATCTGTGTTTTAGTACATTTGAGAATTAAATTAAATTGTTTTCCAAACAAAACAATGTCTTGTTGTGATCAGAATTAATGCAATTAAAAAAAAATTAATGCAATAAGTTTTTATTAATAGCTTACTGCTCATTAAAACCATAAATTCATCATTATTTATTACATTATTTTACCGATTGAATACATCAAAGACTACTTAATTATCACCATGGCACAATAAGAGTCGTTAATAAATAACTGTTTTAGCAAAAGTACAATATCGTCTTTTAGGTATAACATTTACAAGAGAAAACTAGAAATGTTATTGAATTAAATTACAATGTTCATTTTTTAATTCAAACAAAAATTCGTTGAAATCCGACAAAGAATAACAAAAATATTGCAATGTAAAAAATCATCAGTATTAGCAGAAGTATTTCGAGATAACATTAAAGCAATATTAAATAAAAAGACTTAAAACATCAAAATTATCCCACCTCTAATCTTATGTCTTTGTTAAAACTGCGAAAACAACAAATGGGCTTATTTCATGTTGACATACTACCGGAAGTAGGACAAATTTTAACACTTTTTCCTTTTTCTTTGCAATTTCTATGCTATTTTAACAAATATTCATATTATGAATTATTTATTTATTATTTCCCTCTATGATAAGCATCTCGGGTAATAAATAGCTTGCTATAAAAAATCTCTTTTCTGCGTTGTGATATACAGGTGATCCAAAAGTCTAGAAGAAAAATTGGTTATTAATTAATTGTTTATACTTACGAGATAAACATAGTAACAATTGTTTTTTTAATGAAAACCTACCACAATTTTTTTTAGACAACGAGCTTGTTACAAGTATTGTTGCTGTGCATTTTTTTTTTGTAAACCTTACACTTTTTTCTTAAAAAAATGTTTGACTTACAAAAATTAATTTGAGACAACAGCACACCTTTTTTTAATTTATGTAATAAATATTTTAATGTTTCTTTAAAAAAATCTATTAATTTGTTTTCAAAAAAAAAATAGCGTTATTTTGTATTTACAAAAAACAAATACAATTGATAGTTTCGCCAGAATAAAATCGTTTTCAAACTGTTGTATAGTTAACAACTACTACAAAAAATTAAGGGAAACAAAGTATTTCCTAAATTTTTTGGTTATTTTTGAAAGGCTGTATCTCATCGAAAAATAGTCGTATCTAGATTAAAAAAAAAACATTTAGAAACTTTAAGTTTAGACATTTTGACAAAAAAATTTTTTGTCACGGTTATTACACAATGCTAAGAAATAGTGCGAGAAAAAAATTGTAAATTTTTTGTTTTTGATTCACGGACTTTTTTTTTTTTTTAGATAAATCAATGCATAGGCCGGATAGCCTGTTCATTCAATTTTAAAATGTTTATTTTTTTTCTCTTTCCGTCAATTTGTCGCTGAGATATCTGACGTTAAAAAAAAGGATTTTTTTGTTTTTGATCATTGATATTTCAACAATCAATAATCGCGCAGAGAGTGTAAATGTAGTTTCAATAACAGGAATAAAGTTCTTACAACATCATTTCACAATTTTTTGAAAAAAAAACGTTTTACCCTCAACAATGGCTTAAAAAAAACTTTTTGCGTTATTTTAGCGTGTTAATAATTTTTTTTTTACAATTTTACATTAGTTATTAGTATTTGAAAAAAATCCAAATTTCATAGTTATTTATTATGCAAGAAAGAAAAATTATAAAGAAAGTGTTTATCTACGAGTGAAAAGGTTAAGTTACGAGTGGACTTCTTTTACGAATAGATAAACAATCTTTATCGTCGTGTAAAATACTTCGTTTTATTTTGTACTCAACTACCAGAATTTCTTAAATATAAACAGTAAATAAAAATTACTTTATTTCACCAGACGATAAAAGACTACTTTATCTACTGAAATTAGTTGATAAAAAAACACTCTTAACATTGAGTCATAATAAAAAAAAATTGTTTTTTTTTTGAAAAATTAAGCGGTATTTTTTCTTGAATTGTTTTACAAATTTTCAAAAAAAAATGTAATTTACTATTTAAAAAAATATGTTTTTAAGAAATTGTAGAAGGATCTTGTAGGAGATTTATAATATATAATATATATTATAAGTCCTTGGACCAAAATCAAACACAAAAAAAATTACAATTTTTTTCTTGCGCTTTTGCTTATTATTGCGGAGCAAAAAAAATTTTGGAATAGATCTCGAAACAAGAAACTTAAAGCTTCAAAATATTTTTTCCTAAAAAATTTAGGAAATACTTTTTGGAGTAGTGTATTCTTATATGGGAGTGTGCTTATGACAAGCTGTAACATATAAGTACACATATTTTCACAAAAGAAATAAATATCTTCACATTTTAAAATCATGAAATAAAATTTTAATGATCGCTAGTAGAGAATATTCCAGAATTGTTTAGGGATTATTAAATCCAACGTTTGTAATTTAGTGGATGCATTACAGCCTGCATCTGATTTTGATTAAATTTGTGGTTGTAATGTTTCGAAAAGGACTATAAACTAGATTATCGATTGATAACCTAATTGATACAAATATTTGTTTAATAGACCCATACTCAATAATAAAGGGCTGTAGATGCGGGAAATTAAATTAAAAGCAAATGTAAAACGTAAAAACATTTTTCCAACAATTAACCGGTCCTCAGATTGGGAAATCTCCCGACAAGGACATACCGACGCGGGTTTCCAGCTACATTAAACGATTTGTATTGTTCCAGGCGTACTACTACATTGGTTCCTCTCTTGAGGGAAGATTACATTACGGGAGCTGTTAACCTTAATTTAATTTAATAATTTGAGCCGGTGGACGTACAATTTATAAAGTTTATTTAATATTTAATGAGAAAAAGGCGATTGAAAATTGATCAGATTCGAGAAAATTAATTGGAATTATTGTAGAAAATTGATTTATCGGTTCCGGTCACCAGTCTAGGCAAACACTAACTACATATTTAATTTATTGGTCCGGAAATTCGAAGTTTACTTGACACACAGAGCTTTTTGCTCTTATTTTCACAAGGGGATGATTTCAAGCAGTGAAAGAAATTTAGTATTATTATGCCCGTGTTTTTTCTGCAAATTTTCAATCGCTTCGTCAGATACATAAAATAAACGATTTCTGTTTAAATATTTTCGGTAATGACTGTTATTTATTATTCTAATGTAATCAATTATTATGCAATGCACGGACCAAATATGAATATTTATAATCAAAACACAAAGTAGTAGTGCAATGAAACGTTAAGTTTATTTTTTGTACAGAGTTAGATTTTATCACAACGAATTTAAAAAATAAATTAATATGATATTGTAAAGAGGATTTGTTCCTATAATGCATACATGGATGCCGTTGTCTTTTATTTGTATTAGTTTGTTTACGTGTTTGACGTTTTATGGAGAATGTGTACATACAAACATACATATTTAGAGAAATCGCATATAATAGGTTTCATTCGCTTTTCTAGAACATATCGACTAGATTTAAATTGTACGTGTAAGAATACCTACCTGAGAAAAAACAATTAGTTCAGCTCAAAACAGACAGTTTTAAGCCAAACTAATCCGTTGAAGTTAGTTGCCAAATTAGTTTTTAAATTAGATATTAATATTTTAGATAATGATTGTAACAGTGGCTTTTAATATTGTATGCGTTGATTACCATGAATGTACTTAACGAAAAATTTTATAGTCACTGTCATTAAATAATTAATAAGCTAAATGTAAGGAACTAAACCGATAATGTTAACTACCTAATTGTAATTTTTAATATTACATTTTACTGTTAGCATGTTTAAAATGTCACAGTTAAAAAAATTAATGTTAAAGATATTGTGCTTGCAATATTCACACATAAAAGCACTCAGAATTTCTTTCTTAATGTGTTTATTAAATATAAAAAATTATAAAATAATATTTAAACTACGCTCTAATCATATGTATTCTGTAATATGTGTAAAACAAATAAACTCGTAAAGAAGCATGTTGTCTTTTATTTCCCTTTAAAACATTTCTTTTTTAAAGCGAAGGTAAATATTGATCCCATTTTCCTATAGGATATGCAGCCACGAACATCCCAAACGAAAAATAAAACTCAATATAACAAAAATCTAATTTCACACACAGATTTAAAAAAATATAGAAATATAATGGATTTTCTGCGTGAAATGGTTTCACCACTCAAGTTTGCTGTTTATTCACACGGAGAAACAGCCAATCAACTTACAGAATCATAAGAAAGCAATCAAAGTTTGAGCCGATGCTACTGGAAACACAACACCCACACAATCCAGAACTGGAGATAATATCAGAAGAAAATTTCTGCGTAAGCTGTATTGTATTAACTGTCAATTGGAGCTCCTGGTGTAAATTCATACATTAAATAAATTTTAGTCAATGATCTTTAAATCATCCACAGGTATTTTCATTTTTCAACTTCTGGTATATTTATGAAGAGATTCTTACATACAATTAAGATCCTACTCGGGGGTAAGTACTTACTCATTTCATTGACTTTTCGATAACAGAATATTAGGCCAAAAGTCACCTAAACCCAATATAATTGTACTGAACAAGATTAGGAACCCGAATTCTAAACACTCGAGCCTTCAGTGTTTCTTCGTTGGATCAGATAAAGTGTTCTTTGTGTTCATTATCGGGCATTACAAGTTGTTAGATTTAACGAAAACACTCAATACAAATAATTATTGGAAAAAAGAAGTTGAGTCGTTGAGAACCTTTTTGTGCCATTTAAGTAATTGTTGTCCGTTTATATTCTTTATTTATTCAGTCTTTGTACAAAATAAACATTTCTTTTTTTTACACATTTTGAATACAAAAAAATGGGCAAGTCTAATTTTTCACTAGCATTATTGTTTCGTGTTGAATGATTGAACAAACGACGAGTAGTGCTTGCTCTTTCAGTTGCTAGTATTTTAAACACTCACTGGAAGTGACGCCTCTTCCACTCACTATTCCACATTACAACTTAGTCTCCCTAAATGGAAATTGTCAGTTGGTAAACCTAGTGGGTATCAATATAACTTCGAGTGTCTTGTAACTGCAACGTTATTCAACATTACAAGCAACTAACATGTCCAAAATAATTCATGTGCAATACAATACAATACAATACAATACAGTGAATAAATGTGCAATACAATACATAGAAAGTAAAGTAACAATGTCGTATAAAAAATCCTAAACTAGATAAAATTGCTTTAAAATTGTGCTTCTTATTTGAAAGGACATTATTATCATTATCCAGGTGGTGACGCTGAAATGTCGCGACGCTTATCTAATCAGATTTCAAATGACACGTACAAGCAGAATAGGGTGACCGCTTGTTTTACTTGTAATAAAGTCGTTGTCTCCACCTTTACTTTGTACTTTGTGATTAAGTTGGGAAAAAACTTAAATGCTTGGCTTTTCACACAAATCTAAACTAACAGGTAAGTACATATTTACATACTATTTGTCTTGGGCAGTTTGAAAAATTTTCTTAAAAGAAAAATATCAACGCTTTTATGGTTCTTATCAAGAAAAAAGATTTACCTTCAAAATGTCGTATATTTTGTCCAGAAGTCAAAATATACTAGACATTAATAAAGACCAAATTAACTCTTAACTTACTCATTCTTAACTCACTAACTCTTCAAGACGACTACTTGAAAAAAGAAAGACTTAAATCCAATACTGTATAAAATTAGGCCATTAATCTGAAGGAAATATCTATTTGTCAAGACTAAAGCTTAAATTTAATATAATAAATAAAAATCAGGGTTTTTATACGACAGAAAGCACTTAGCTCGTAGGTAATTATTAAAAAAATGTCAACGCTTTTTTAACATTTTTGACATATTTTTTCTATAGTAATTGAAACTTATTGTTATAAATTTTGCTCTTGTTATCTGTTCATAGTATATTTAGTGGTTTTCCCACTCAAAAAATATCTACATGGACTAAATAATAATGCTCTTTTGAATGTTTTGTTAAAAGACTTTGCAAAGAAGCTTAACCGTATTTACGACAAAGCTCAAATTAGTTGCAATGTGTGTAATATGTTTTGCACCACTCGAGACTAATAAATATTTCGCTTAGCGGAAATGTATTATGAGAAAACTCTACTTCAACTAGTAAAGACATAAAATTCGTGGTGCTAAACATTAAGTTAAAAGCTTTAACACTGCTTCACATAATCAAGTTAATCGCTTCATTAAGTACTCAATTGATTCAGTAAACCTCCATAGAACTCGAAACTTTTCTCAAATAATAAACAAAATTGATATTTCATAATTTCTTCGCACGTTAATTTAATATTGACGATTATTATGTCAGCCCTTAAAAGCGAGGTTAATGTGAAATAATAACGTAAAATCCCGCTCTAATGCTATAGAAACCATATTTAAGTCAAGGAAGTTGCAATGTATATTGTAGGATTCATTAAAACTTTTGACGTAGATTGCTCGTTGATGATTATTAAACTTTTAAAGTTAATACGCCGTAAATTCAACCATATGGGAGGTAATTAGTGTCTGCTTCAGCTTAGTATAAATTTGAATTTCTACCAGGAAATTTAAGCTCGCACTTAAGCCTCTGAAAAAACACCATCAGCTGAACTTTTAATATCGATTGTTGGCCAGAGAAACCACCTCTTAATTTTGAATGGTAAAATTTCCCAACTGATCATTTCCGAAGGCAATAGATTTTTAAAATAATATATTGGAATTGTTTAAAATTTGTGTTAATTATAAACTGATTTGCTCATCAGAACGCAACATTTTCGTTAAAAAGTCATAAAACTTGAACCAGAAGCGCCCACGCGAAACACTTAAGTTCAGATTTCCTAAATAACTTCATGAAATGCCTACCCGTTTCAGCTTCAAATATACAAGTCGTAACTTTTACCTTCTACTCATATTCACATAATTTAAGGGTGAAAACAACCGATAGATTCAATTTAATTTATTTAACAAAAACAATTTAAGTGAAAGGGCAATAAATAATCCATACACTAAAATTTTAGCATGTTTTTAATAATTACAATTATCGATATGTTTTAAGTCACAGTTTCGTTACGTTTTAGCAACCCACAATGACTAAACTGAGTTTTTTACGTATAAAATTGCCGACAAATTTTGTAATCAACAACGGTGTTATTTGCAACAAAAATATATCATTTAAATACGACAAAAAATCTCTTATATGTAGGTTGTACAAATAATAGTAAATGCTGTTTAACCATTTTTTTAAATAAATTTAAATTTAATTTAAATTTTGTAAAAAAGAATTTTTTTTTTATTTAGAATTATAGATTTAATATTAATCAAAATTTATTACTTAGTAGGTCTAATCACGTACTCAACTCGTTAAAAATTCTAATTTCTAGAAAATGTTATAAACACGAGCTTTTTAGCAAGCAATTCCATGTGGATCCGAGTCTTGTGAGTACATTTATAGAATGTTTTATTCAAAATTACATAGAAAATGATATGGAAATGTGTACGTATAAAGTGAGCAAGTCACTTTACATAACTATATAATGATACTGCTATAGTATAAAAGCTCTGGCTTATTCAATTTAAACGAAGATTGTCCATTATAGTACGAATAATGAATAAATCGGGTTATTGGAGTCTGGAACATAAGCATACACTTAAATAAATAAATATTTTGAAAAGCACAATAGTATATTGAATATTTATAATGTATATTATAAATTACCCGTATAATATAACGGGTGTCTATTTAAATTTGGTGTCATAATTGGCGGTGATATGAGTGTGTTGTGAACCTACCACATTTTTAATACGCCCGGCGCGGGGCGAGGTGTCAAATGTCAGATAACTTTCACTAACTCAGATAACTTTGCATAACAGGCCCAACAAGTAAGGTACTGGTTTCATCTGCATCAATTATGTTGAAGTAGCCACTCTCGCGAGATGTTGGAGATGTTAGCAGCTCCTAACACTTTTCTTCGAAATTCTAATCGGGATTGGTGCAAACCATTTGTTCACACAATTGTTGTGCATTTATTTATTAGAATTATTGTAATTCTAATTCACCCAAGCGGAGAAGATTGATTGTCTCAGATAAAGCTTTCAATTATAAAAATAATTAAAAAACAAGAAATCTGTGATAAAGATTGCTTCTAATTAATTAAATAAAAACAACACAAAAGACAGTTACGTTTGGCTTTGTAAAAAAAATGAAAGTCATTATTTTGTAAAGCGAGAATAATTCCTCTCAAAAAGTCAACTTCACAACTCCCCAAAGCTCACGTTCAAACAAACGAATATATTTTCAAGTATAAACATTGAATTCTTTTACTTTTGTTTTATCTTCTATGAAACGCGTTGCAATTTTAATGAACATTTTTAAACAACTAGAGTACCCAGAATGTAACTCAGTTGTAATAAGAAGCTCATAACAATAGAAAATGCCACATCCGAACTACTGCTTGATTGAAATAGAGCAAGGAATTGTTATTAAAATAGCCATGGAATTTCATTTTAATGTCACGCTTTGCGATTTCCATGACGCATAATTAAAATTGCTTTACAAAAATGTAATCACCCTTAAAATGCAAATTACAATTTAATAACAATAAAATTTGTATGTAGTTAATAATAAATATGGAGAACAAATTAGTAAATAAAACTACAAACGTTTCGTTGTATCGGAAACTGTCAGCCTATCAACACTAAACTCCAATTTTACAGCTTTTTAGACGAACAAAAGCTATCAAAGTGATCCGTGTTTTATTTAGCCGCCTACATACACCTACACTTTCAGAGGCGGGTTAACTGCAAATTGAATATGCAAAAATGTTGAATAAATAAACAAAATATTATGTACATTATTTTCGCAAAAGCTCTTCTTTATTTAAACAAATGTGTTAAAGTTTTTTTAGATATAGAAAAACTGTTATAAAATAAAACTGTCTGAAATAAAATAA